TTGGATTTAACAGAAGATGAGGTTCTGGAGCAGCCTGATTCTGTTTCTCACCAGAAATCAAGTACACAAAATGTACTTTTGAAGACAGTAAGAAGAAAAGCCATTATTTTACATAATGTATTATAAAATAATATAATTATCTGCCAAGCAATAAATCACAGGGCTCTATTTGTTTGAGAAGACCTGGTAAATATTGTAGAGAGACATGAGCATGAAAACAGAGCAGTTACTCGATGTGGGAAGAATATCATCGAATTTCACTGGATGCAGTAAAAAAACCCCAATTTCTTGCCCTCCTTGTTGCTTTAATGAAATGTTAACGACTTTTACACACCTTGTAACATATTCAATTAAAATGCAAACTATATTATGTATCCCATTCAAATCTCTTTAAATTTTGATCCTAACAGTAAGGGTTTTCTGTAAGATACAATAAATACAAAACTGGGAAAAAATTGAATCAGTTTCAACTGTATAAGGTAACTCTTCTTATTGTAGAATTACAGTCTAAAAAAATACTAAGATTCCTGTATGATTTATGAACATCTATATAGAGAGACTTCAAAATTTATAAACTTTTAAACTGCTTTTCAGGAGACACAAAACTCCTAATAGAGTTTCCATAAAACTCAAAAGTAATGAATAAGATCACAGTCCTCAAAAAATCCTTCTGAGTGCATGATGTTTAGATCAACAAAATATACTCTTCTTTTTTTAAGAGAAATTTGCAGAAATATTGACTCACTTTCTTGCGAGTGAATATGTAATTCTTAACTGTGAGATGAGATGCTAAATTTACATTGAACATGGTTGATACTGATACATCATTTACACTGAAGCCATAAAAACCCCTGCACTAATGAAACCCTCCTGCAGTTTGTGCTTGTAAGGGTTGCAGTTCTACAAGGTGGATTTTGCTAGAGAATGGAAAATTTTTCTATCACTGACATGTCTCCTGCAGGACATTTTTACACCTCAAGGAAGATAATACTCTTACTGGCATTTTATAAAAAAATTATGAAAACTAGTTTCCAAGACAGGCCAAAGAAGACTGAATTCAGATTCCAAGAAGGGATTTTATGTTATATATTGTGTGCATACACTTGGAGTGATTTATTTAATGTAAATGTAAATGTATAGGGTGTTTTAAATTATGCAAAAACTTAAACTGCAATTATATAAATATCTGCAGTTTTGACTATTCAGATCACAGTATTTTGGAGTGTGTTTAATATATTAAGAGTAATGTTCAAAACTTTCTTCGGGTTACTTTGAATATATTAGTTATAAATTGAGTAACAGGGTAAAGGATAGATCTTTCCAAAACAACATAAAAGCCAGATTCAAATTTCTAAAGAAAGCCATTTTTCATCTCAGTTTAAAAAGCAACTAAAAATCTTAAATTAGCTGAGGTACCTTTCTCCTGCAAAAATACTTCCAGAAACTCTAAACAAAAATATTCATTTTCTCATTTTTATGTTTCTTCTTTAACATCAAAATTTCAAAGAATTATTTCCAAAGAATTAAATTTAAAGCAATTGAGAAGCAGTGGAGGATGAATATATAGAATCTACTTTTATGGGGTAAGGGGATTTGCAGGTTCTCTCTCCTCCTAACCCTTAATATACAATGTAGTGATTAGTCAGGCTGTACTCATTAAGGGTAGAAAAGGGGGAAATACTGTACCAACAATACAGATAAGGGAAGGAACCAGTGGTCTACCCCATCCAAGCTGAAATGCATCCTATATGAAATAGAAATATATAGCCTGTTATTAGTTGTGAATCTGTAATGACAGACACTTGATGCTGTGTTTTATAACACAGTTACATGACAAATGTTTCTTTCATACTAAGGAAGTTTTGAGTACTCTTGAAAATGCCTCATTGCCACTTTCCTGGTAAGGCAATCTAAGGAATAGCCATAGAATTTTAGAGGAGATTTAAGACATCCAATACTCTAATTTAGTTTTAAAAGTTATGAAATTGGACTGGAAATTTGAAATACAGTAAATGTTTAAAGCCATCAGCCAGAAATATGCATAAGGCATGCAAAACTGAAAGTGCAAGTGGATTTCAGATTGTTTGCTGCCTTCTACTATTTCTCTAATAAATCAAGCACGGCATGACATGCTTTATTTTGTGAAGTTAGACACAAATGCATGCTTTATTCTCACTTAATTCTCTAATTCAGCAAAGCAAATGTATTCAGTATTCTACATTTTCAAGTAGCATACCAATTCAAACTGGTGCAAAAGCATTATACTGCGAGTACTAAAAAAGCTAAACAAAAAGCAATGGGTATATTCAAATCTCAGTTTGCAGCTACTTCTGCTTAGTACATACAGTAATTGAGATGAGAATATAAACCCTAAGACAGAAATTTAAATTAAATTAAAGCAATCCTTTACTTTGCCTTCCAGCATCTGGGTGGAGTTGGTTTTGAGATTCAATATAGAAAGTATTAAAATTTCTCAGAATTCAGTATACTAGCAGATATTCTAAATGCCTTTAATATGGCAAAATTCACTTCTGTGCTTAAGGCAAGCCCAGGCATTGGATTGCTTGCACCCTAGTTTGGTGCAAGTGATTCATATATCTTATACTCACTTTGGAAAGGGAATTATGAAACAGCATAATTATAAAATTAAGTTGTAACTAAAGAGTGTAGCTGAAGACTTCTAAGAATGTAACTTAAAATCTGAAGTGTGTTTCATATTTAGGCATGAGAGAATGGTCCTTAGCAGGTACTGACTGTGTAAAATGCTGCATTCTTCCTATTCACGAGAATGAAAAACTTATTTAAGAAAAACATTAATTGAATTAAAGTGGTTGAGTACTTGGCAAATTGTTTAAAAAAATGATACAGAGATTTTTATATCCACAGCCTCTTGTGGAATACTTAAGATATTTTACATTTTCGGTGCAAAATTTGCACAGTTTTGAACATGGGTAAACATTAAAATTTAAATACATGCTGAATAGAAACATTTTATCACAGCTCAGTGTAGGTATGGGCAATATAAGAAAGTCAAGAGGGCTGATTTATTTTTACTTTCTGCAGACAGAAAAAATAATCTCTTTTTATCAACTCTCATGAAATGAACTTGGTTTCTGAGAAGACTTAAATTTGACTATAGTCTTATGAGCTGGTCTATTATTTATTATTTGAATCTTTTTACTGTTTGTGAGTCATTCACAAAGTAATGCCAACAACTGTCAGTGAGCTGTTTTGAATACTTGCCAAGTGCTTTGGAAAAAACCACTATTTCAGAAGTGCCAGTAGTATCTGTAAGGCCTATATATATTTGGCCAGTCAAATCTGCTAAGTGACTGGAATCAGATATTTCATTGACTATCATTAATATTGGAGGATAGAGCTGAAGCCTATTTGCTTTTCCAAGCTTGTCTGTGATTCCTAACCAGTAAATTGCTCATGAATTATTCACAATGTGTAGCTGAAATTCTATCATATGATTGGGCTTCTGGCAGAGTTTCATATTTATTCAGCAAGCAATAGGGGAAAGCAGTAAGTAGATTTCAAAGTACCTTAATAACAGCTTCTTTATGCATGAATATCCTAAATCTTGTAAGTGGAAAATTTACTAAGGCGATCATGAAAAGATACAGAAAATTTGAATAAAACATTTGGCAATCAATTTTGACATCTTTCTAGAAACGGCCATTTCTTTCAATATCATTTTAAGAACTGCATTTTTTTTCTTCCTGTATAACATCTGTACTGGTCTCCCAGTCCACCTGCAGCTGACCAGAAATCATAAAAAACGTAAAGCTGACAGCAGTTTCCCAACATTTCTCTGCACAAAACCACATACATTTATCTGAATGTGCATGAACAGTATGTACAAAGAGAGAGACAAGGAGAAAATGACTAAATCAAATAGTTGCATATTCTGTAGTACTTGACCAGCTCTTACCCTGCTGAATATCACTTCATGAGTTTCATACAAGGAGAAAACTGTTAAAAGTCAATTTGCTGAATGAAGCTGAAATTTATTAATTTAGTAATCATTAGTTAGCAATGTATTTTCTGCTGAATTCTGAAGTGGAGATAGGCAGTCTGCTGAATACAATTTCAGGAAAAGAATTCAAGCCTCAGCTTGATTTCATTAATCTGAGACTTTTTTAAAGGATTTTGCATTGCTTCTTCTTATGTTTCCATGACGCAGGAAAAAGCATTCTCTTGAAGCATATTTCACTGACATGCATATAGAGTTAGTTTGTATTCAGTGGCTTTAAGGAACAGAACATATAAACAAATGAAAAAATAAGTCAAAATGCCTTCTTGAGTGAGATGAATAGTAAGCAGGGCCTCTAAATTACTCAGGGTAGCAAAAAATAACTTTATATACATTGTATTGAATATTGAATAGAGATTAGTTTAAATAAAAGAAGCATTTACCTTACAAAAAGAATAACTTCATATAACTTCAAATAACTTGATTTGCTTTTTAAGTCAGCCAAACTCAGAAATAGATTTAAACCACCAGCAGATATGAATATGTCTGTAGTATCATCTAATGAAATTCAGTGGGGTTAGATTAAAGGAGGTTTGTAAAATATAATGAAAAATGAAGAAGTTCAATTTCTAGGAGAAAATATCTTTGTTAACTAATGCTAAAATTAGATTCTTGTATAAATATTTTGATATGTTTATCCGTAAAGAAATTAATACAATTTTGTTACATTTAAATTATTATTATGACTCTTTTAAGAGAGTTCCTAGTTGGCAATTTTAAAGACTCATATGAAAAACTCCTGAGATTGGCTAGAAAGTAAAGTAACCTTAATGAATGCAAGTTGTATGTGATACTGCATATGGATTCAGGTGAATGGATAAAGCGTTTTGCTTATCTGTTAGTAAAAGATATGCAATAAAAAGATAGTGCAGCCTTTCTGCATGGACTTGTCATTCCTTGTTGTGCATGCATGTATTCCTTCTATGCATGCATAGTTCCAGACACTTTCACGTTGCCTTACCCTCATGCCTTCAAATCGTGACAGAGCTCTTAGAGGTCTCAAAGCTCTTAGTGTCCTAAGGGACTTAATGGCACCCAGTTCAGAGTAACCCAATGCATTTGCTGTTAAGCTAACCAAAGAGACCTATATGAAAACAGGAAAGTGAAAATTATTATGTTGTACGTTCTACTTTACATACCATAGATGTGAGATATACACTTCCTTAGAAGATTCTAATTTTGGATCACTTTCTTCAGGAATAGGGAGTCTTTCAAGTAAAAAAAAAAAAGGAAAAAAAGAAGAAGAAGCAATATGAAAGAAGAATAGGCAAGCGAACAAAAATATCATAAGATAACTAATATCTGGAAACATTAGTACTTTTGAATTTCATCCTTTGCTACTGATCCAAGGGCATCTAAAACCACAAAAACTGAATTAAATCAAACTCTCCTTTTTACCAATTTAGGTATTGGTCTTATTTTTTCTTTATTTTACAATACTGTTGGGATCAATAATTGTGGTTGATAATGTCATTTGACTGTCACAACTGAAAGGGAAGTGATTGAAGTTTGTGTTGAAGTGCACGTGGGTCACAGAACAACACTGCTCCTCTGAAATTTGGTAAAAAGGATTATTTTTACTATAGGCAGTTATACTGACTAATCTTTTTGCCTGACTGCTGAAATTATGTACTTTACAAATTGACATTAACCAGGACTATGCTGTTTCTAAGACCTTAGAAGAACAGTTCCATAAGTGGATGAATTTCACAGGCCTCTAAATATTCCATGTCCCTCAGTGCAAAACACCACATTCTTCATATTTGCTATGGCTCCTGCCCACAATATTACCTTCTGTTTGTTTCCCATTTCCCTAAATGTTCCTTCATTATGCTGTTCTAATTCCTTAAGTATTTACTGGGCCAAAAATAGCATAATGTTCTCATGCAGTCTTTCATTATAAACAACAATGTATGAGGTAAAGAGAACTGTAGGACTGTGGTCATATTTTAAAACAAGCATTATATGTGAAATTTTTAGCTTTTCTGAACTTTTCAGTAGCTCTAGCAACCACAAAATATGGTTCTTTTGAAATCTAAATTTCTTTTTTCATTGTATCACTGTATTTCATTCATTGTATCACTAAAAACTTTCAGGCTGCCATAATCTCAATGAAAATTTAAAAAATATCCACATGTATACATTCAGCATTTAACATTAACTAATTCAGACATTTGAATATGTACTATACCTTCACATAATGATGTATTCACATTTTCACATTCACAAGATGGCTGTTTGGGATATTATAATTTAAATAAGGTCAAACATTAGAGATATTTAGTTTAGGAAACTAGCAGCTGCTTCTGCTTGCATGGTTGTTCAAGCTTTTTTGTTGTAGGTGTCACTTAGGTCCCAGTTTGAGAATTTTTATATTAAAGATCAAAGTGTTTTCCGAGAGAGGGTACTTTCTTTGTATGAAACATGATTATCTGTAGCTGTATGTGTGGAGTTGAAACCTAGATGTATTTAAACCACAATGTACCCAGATAAAAAAATGTTATAAATCCCCACCCAAAAAAACCCCAAACAACAACAACAACCAAACAACCAAACAAACGTAAGAAAATTAATTGCTCTGATGCTCTGATTAGCTCCTGTATGATGGGAACACATTGAGAAAGTGTTGGATTTTTGGCAATACTTTGGGACAATAATTTCTTATAAAGTTCTCTTTTTGTCTATTCAGTGTGCATTTCTAAGTTATTGAACCCAGGAAAAAAATAATTTTAAAATTGAGCTTGTTCAATACTTGGTTTTTGTATATGTTTTACCAGAAATTACTGTCTTGAAAATAGTGTGAATGGTTCTGGTTTTGTAACTCTGTAAAACATGGTATTTGAAGTTCACCCACAGAAATTCACAAACTGCAGAAACAGTGTACTTTCCTGCACACTAGAGGTTTTTTACCAGGGGGTATACTTAGGGTATTCTTAAATGCTCCATAATTTTATCAATGCATCAAGAAATGTTCTCTCCCATTTCACAGCACATTACCATAGAGCCAGAACTATGAGATAACCATTGCAGCAAAGATTTCAAACATGCCTGTGAAGACTGCAAGCTCAGTAGTATTTACTGGACTTCAATACTAATTAAGCCACACTACCAGTGCTAGAGATAAATCCTGCTTTCCTTGTGGAGCCCTAATTTATCCATATGCTGAAATTTGTGGGTGTGATGTTCATTTTCTTGCCAGAGGAGTTTAGATTGAGATGGTTGCCTGACGTCTGGTGGATCAGATACCCTTCTAAATGCTGGACTCAACCTAGACCAGAGCAGGAGGAATGATAGGTCAGAAGGTGGGAGCAAGCAGCCCAGGCCAGAATGCAGGGCAGCCTGACCCCTTCCAACAGCAGTGTTGGGACAAACCCCATAACTGCCTGGGGGCTACCATGTGAGGTCCTTCTGGTCAGCAGGAGAGCATCCAGTCTCTCTTAACATAGCAAGGCAGTGCTGCAAGCATAAAGTGAAATTCAGAAACATGCAGTTTTTCCAGCTACCTTACTTTGCAAATTGAAAACTAAACTAGTTGGCATTAATAGACACTATGGCTGCAGAGAAAGCAAGTTTAAAAATTATCAGATAAATGTAAAAGTGTCACCTAGGAAATGCATTACATACATCGACAATGAGGAAGTCCAGCCAGCACCAGGCATTAGTGAAATATGTTTGGTAGCCATAGGCCACCCACTTCAGCAGCATTTCCAGAATGAAGATGTAAGTGAAGACTTTGTCAGCATATTCCAGCATGGTCTTGATAGTTTTACGTTGTTCAATATAAATGTCTTCAAAAGCCTGTGAGCATAAACATTCAAAGATGTTATTTTTTGTTACTGCACATACTTCAGGTTGTACCACAACAAACCAAAAAAGGCATCAGAAAAAAGAAGTAATATTCAAGAAAAGGCAAGGGTATGTAATTTCCATCTAATGCTTCTTTTTCTGATAACTCAGTATACATCTGTTCTTTCCCTATGGAAATACATTTTCCAGCTCACAGGAGGAAGAAGCAGATATTACACAGCAACCTCTCCACTGATCAGAGATTTTTAAAAATGCATTTACTTAATGCTGATAGTGAATTATTCTTCTGAGATCATATTCCATAATGACAAATAGAATTGATTCTGCCAAGTGTTTTGCCTGAACTGAATTCTACTGAGATGATTTGGTTTGCATGTAGGTAGACCCAACTTCAAAATCCAGAGCCATAGCTGTAAAATTTTCAGGACAATGACAATACAATCTACCTTTTTTTTTTAAAGTCCTCTAGTTTCTTTAAAATTTTAACTTTTACATCTTAAAAGAAGTTCTTCCTTTCTTAAAAGAAATTGTCTATCTAAATCAATTACCTGCTTTATTGTTCACATTTTATCAGATGCATAAAATTTCTGAGCTCCTTGCCATGTAATTGACACTTTTTGAGTTCTCATTTTTAGGCAATTGAAAAAACAAGTAGTTCCTGCTTTTCATAAATGCTTCAATTTTTTTTCCTTTAATTGCTTTCAAATTTAATTATGCTATTATTTCTTATGGAGACTGATTTTATCAGGCTGAAAGAACTAGAATGATCTGCTAGCTTGCAAAGATTTGGATATTTTTTGATACTAACATTCATTTTTACTCAGCCTGCTTTTAAACCACTTGACACCTGTCAGTTCAAATGATTAGTGTTTGTATATTGGCCATCAAGCTAAGATCTGTGTAATTCTGGTTGCTTGCATCAGGACTGTGGTACCTGACACTCATGTATTCACTAAAATCTGGGAAGTCAGCACTGAATGTCATTCCATTGGTACAGGTGGGGTGACACCAGAGGCTGAGCAAGCAGCACTCCTGGCAGCAGAACTGTCAGATCTCCTTCCACTACTTTTCTCATTTAAATTCTTGTCACTGAAGACTTTCTGCACTTAGTTGTATGAACCAAAATTCAAAAGCGTAAATTTCATCTTTTTTGTTATTTGGAGGATTTTAAATGACAGGGAAGGTGGCACATGATATTGCATAAAAGTTGTTTTTTCTGATGGTTGTATTGATATTAGACCAGACAAAAGCAGAATAATTCTTAGATATGTAGCTGAAACTAGTGATAGGTATTGTCATACACTGCTAACAGTATTGGCAGTATTTTAAAGTGTTTGGAGTCATCTAATGATCTTATAATACAATTTTGAAACACAATTTTTTTATTATGTGGGAAGTTCAGTAATTTTCCAAAGGGTAATTAAATCTGTCAGGGTAGATGCTAGATATACTCTGCATTATCTTACACCAAATCGTTTGCCTAAGAAACTTTACCTCAGTGTATATATACAGGCTCACTTTAATTTAAAAATTAATCTACAATTTCTTTATTCCTCATCATTATTCGTATTTTTGAAAAAAAATTATTGTTAGGGTTATTTCATTTATTGTTATAGATTTGTATTATGGTTGGCTTCCCATTATTCTGCCCTTGCATGCTTGTTAGAGCAAACTCATGTTTTTGCAGATGTCCTTTCAGTCTACATGAGTATGAGTCAGTAGAAGCTGAATTGTAAGTCTAAATAATAAATTCTTATTCTTAGAAAGGAATCAAAAACCCCACACAGTCTTAGCCTTTTTTTGGTGTTCTAGCACACAGCATTTACAGGGCTACATAAGCCAGCCCTGTCCCTTACAAGGTGTTTTGAACTGTTAATGCCATTATAGTTCCAAACCCTTCAACAGTGACAGTCGTTTTCCCTGAGCTACATCAGTAAGCAGCAGTGAAATGAGAGAGCACACTCAAATAAGAAAGTTTAGTACGTTCTCTTCTTCACATGTTTCTCTCTGCCTGAGGTATATCACTGCCACTTGCAGCAATGGAATTAGACTCTCTTTAATCACTTATATCTGTTCTTTTTCCTACATACTGTTGAGAAGAGACTGTTTTTGCAATTTTCCCCAAGGCCTGAATAAAATTTAGTAGGATCATTTGAAGAATGGAATTGTGTTAAGTTAAAATAGTGTTAGAAGAGACAATTTTAAGGAGTTTTCTGGCAACATGGAAACAGTCTGTTCATGTTTTACTTACCAGAGCTCCACTACTGAGGAGAATCATAAAGACAATGAAAGTCTCAAACCAGTTGTGTTCAACAATCCTGAAGCAGGTTTTTCTAAGGTTCCACCACTGCTTTCCTCTCCCTTCTTCTATACTTACTTGACAGCACTTGAACCTTCTTACACAGCCTTTAGAACAGTGTATGTAATGAGAGGAGGAGAAAAAAACCAAGAGATTTTGTTGAGTTGCATTAATTTTGGTTATGCATTCTGTTAATGATACAATGCTATCTTTCCTGCGCTATTTAGTAAAAACTCAATAAATTTTCACCTAGATAGCCTTCTTTTTCTTCAAAGAAAAAAGAAATAACATTGAGACAGGTGGAATTTACAGTTAAATTAACAAGTGAGAAAAATTTATTTCTCATTTATCAAGAAGTACTCAATACAGTCCACACAAAAAGATAAAAGTCCATCAAAGACGAAACCAAATTACAGAATACAAAGTAAATTAAAATATACAAACTCATCCAGACGCCAGGTAGGTTTATGTAGTAAGATATGGGCAAATGATATTAAACTGTACCTTCTTTTGTTCGGTATACTTAATTCAGAAAATGTTGCATTCATTGCATGAAAAAATCTAAGCCTCTTATCTGAGTTCTAGGCTTTTCAGTACCAGCTAATTTTTCTATCTTGTTCCCCTAATTTATTTACACTTTTATGATTTAGCTGCTAACTTTTCTGTAGAAAAATACTAGTAATAAATAATGGTATTTTCTGCGACAAATCCTAGACTGTTACAGTACTACCTCTTACAAGTTCAGTGTAAATTTCTAAAGAGTGATCTGTTATCATGCCCAGAAGTAATCCAACCTGACAATAGCATTTATTGTCCAATGCCTAAATCTAACTTCTGCTTACAGATACAAAAAATGACATTTTTATCCTTATATTACCATTTAAAAAAAAATTTCTTTCCCCACCTCCTTCACATGCACACATCCATAAGCACTCTCCCAAGCAAGTGCCATTGGAAAAACATTTACTACCAGATTGCGATTTTATTAAATTGCAGGCCAATAGAAAGAAGAATGAAAGATGAAGGAGTCCACCAGGTAAGACTGTTCCTGCCCCAGGTGGCAAACAAGGCTTTTTTATTTTTATTTTATTTTTTTTATTTTTTTATTCTATTTATAGAAGATTTATTTAGCATTTTGCACAAGACCATCTAAGTGCAGTTTTTATTTATCATTAAACAGCTGTTTTAGTAATGTATACTTAATAGAGCACTTAGATATCTGTGAAAAATATTTTTAATAGTGTGTTCATTATCTGTAACTAAACTCTGAAAATACAGTAACATACTAAAATAAAGCTTTTGATACCATATTTTTCTTATTTTAAAAATAGAGATATATTTCCAATAAAATGTTTTCTTAGCTGTTTATCCAAAACATAGTATAATTGTGGTATCAGTGTCCATGTAATGTATTATGACTAAAAGTACTACTGCTAATTATCAGAACTTAAACACTAACGAAAGGCTAATAGGATTCCTAAATCTTAACACTTAACTTACATATAAAATTATTCTGCAATTCTATTAATAATTATTAGTAGTGTTTTTTCTTCCAAATACCTTCTGTGAAGCAGGCCTCTGGCTCCTGGGCTTCTTCAGGTTCAGCTTCTGGTTGTTCTTCTGCAGGAAGTCCAATATCAACTGTGCTGCCTTCAGATGAACTAGATGAATTTAACTTCTGTAAAGGAAGGAAGCATCACAAATGCACAGTAAATAATTTTAAGGCAAATATTACTTGATTCTGGAATAAGTAAATTAGACAATGTTCTGAATGTTCTAGAATTCAAGTAAATTCTTGATAAACATCTGAGAAGTTTCTACAGTCTGGTTTTCCTCCTGTACTGTATGAGTGTTAAATAGAAGGTGTATCAGTAACAGATCACACTTCAAATAAAATTGTGCTTTAAACTGAAAAATGTGGGTAATGATGCCAAACCTGAGAAGATTTATGACCATAACAAGCCATAAATTGTAATGATCTCTTGACCTACATGGAAATAATTAATCTTAAACAAATATACAGGACTTTGTAGTGTCTACTGAAAATCAGGTATGAGTCTAAAAATAACTACATAAATGAGGTGTGAGCTCAGAGGAATGAGAGGAAAAAAGCAGAGAAGGCCATACTTCAGAGGTTAGTAAATCCAGATAAAAATTGCTGAAAATCTAGCTATAACTCTTTCTTGTACTTTTGTTCATCAAGAATTAAGTTCTCCTTTATACACTCATTTATGCCTATCTACAAAGAAGTGTCAAAATAAATTATTAAGAATTGAATACACTGGCTTATGAGAAGAAAAAGAAAAAAACCCTAAACAATGAAACAAAATCCAACATAACAAAGATCCTCAAAAGATCAGAGAGAAATGCAAAAAATATCTAAATACCTCCTTGCTTTCTTCCAGGTCTGATTCACTACTAAATTCTTCTGTGTTTAGATTTTCAAAGTCGGATTCACCCACAGCAATGGGCACTGTCACAGTGAGGCTTGGGTTGTTTATAAATGACATATAATCACTCTCATCAATTATGTATTTTTCCACACTGCTGCCTGTGCCTATACCACTGGTGGTTCCATTTGCATCTTTAATATAGTCATGGTCCTTGCTTAACTCCACAGTTGTATGGTTGGAAATACAGCTATTTTTGTTGTTTAAATCTTCAAGCGGCTTGATTTCATCTAAAGCTTTCTGTTTTTTAACAAAGGCTTTTTGGATGAATTCACGTGCTTTTCTTTTCACATAATCTATGCCTTTCTGCATTCTTGCCACAGCGATCTGGAGATTGTTCATTTCATTATCATCATCTGTCACAGCAAGGTTGTCTGCACTAAATGAGCTCAAGAGCAAGGCCAAAAATAGATTCAGTACCTGCAGAGAGATTTAAAAAAAAATATGTTCTAGACTTTATTTTAAAAACGTTTATTTTATTTAAAAATGTCCTATTAGTGACATCAAAGGCTGAAATCCCAATAATTCACCATAACCAAAAAAGCACCCTGAAAAATTTTTCTCTTCCCCATAAAGACCAAGCTTATTTCACTTAGCTTAAGTCCTGCTCACCATTTGAAAATATTTGTACAACTGACTAATATCTGTAAATGTGTCTTTAATTCCCTACAGTATAATAATATTTTGGTGTCAAAGCCTATAATCTAAAAATGGAGCTATCAGATTTGCTGTTCAGCATCATTAAAAAGTTTAATTTAGCCCATCACACAACAAAAATTAGATTATTCAGGTGACTAATCTTATAGTATAAATAATAAAAAAAATCCACAGCAAATGGTTTATAAAGAGCCCATAAACGAAAATTATTTGGAGCACAAAATATTTTCAAAGAGCCAAAAGAGAAATTAGTTACATTCTTAAGTGCACACTCTGACAGTCTTAGAATTTTGACATATTTTGTTCGCTATCCAAAAAAGCTCTTAAGCTTAACTTTTAGCATTTCTTGAAGCAACCTGCTTAAGTGCTTTGTTGAAGTAGAGCCAGAGCACTTAGTTCACTTCAGGACTGAGACCAGTCTCTTGCCAAATAATTTTTTGTTAACACTTTGGTTACATACCACTAGGTTTCCAATCACCATGACCATCATGAAGACTGTAAGGCACATGGCTTGGCCAGCAACCTCCATGCAGTCCCACATTGTTTCTATCCATTCTCCACACAGCACTCGGAATACAATCAGGAAGGAGTGGAAAAAATCTTGCATGTGCCAGCGAGGAAGCACACAGTCACTTGCAATTTTGCAGACACATTCCTTGTAGTTTTTCCCAAACAGCTGCATCCCAACCACAGCGAAAATGAACACAATGATGGCCAGCACCAGGGTCAGATTCCCCAGAGCTCCCACGGAATTACCAATGATTTTTATCAACATATTTAGTGTTGGCCAAGATTTTGCCAATTTAAAAACTCGTAACTGGAAGGAAAGAAAAATGTTGTTAGCAGAACCAGAAAGACACAAGGATATTTAAAAGCTAATTTGTGGAAGGATACTGCTGCAAAATATGCCTTTAGTTGGGCTGTTTAGAGGGTATCATCTTGTCTAAATGCATGAAGATGGAAATGTCTCTCAAGAAAAATTTGTGAAGTTGTAATTTAATATTCTCAAAGCATAGCTTTTACTGAAGGCCAAAGAAGCTACTCATTTGAACTTAAAATCTAGGGTTCACCTGTTAAAATCATCTGGACAACTTTTCAACTGGCGTTTGTAGAGAACTATTCCTGTTCCTGTGATGCCAATCAGAGCATAATAGCTCTAGTGAGTCAATTTATTTCTGCATAGTGGGATGTTTAAAGTGTGTATGTACAATGGATACATTGGAAATAGGCCCAGGACATCCACTGCTATCTGTTTAGATCTCTATCAATTCCCACTGAAGAATGTAAGATACCCAAATCAGTAAGGATTTGTGCTAATGAAACTGTCATCAGGATCAGTATCGTGGCAAACATTAAGGACATTTTTAAGACAAAAAAAATTGTTTTAATGAAGCCACATTGAAAAAATCAGTACAATTGAATTATATTTACCAATCTGAATGATCGAAGTACTGATAGTCCTTCCACATCTGCAAGACCAAGTTCAACCAAGCTAAGTGTTACAATAAAACCATCAAAAATATTCCAACCTTCCTGGAAATAATAGTAAGGATCCATTGCAATTATCTTGAGAAACATTTCTGCTGTGAAGATTCCAGTGAAGACCTGAGTTCAAAGAGCAGTTAGTTATTTCATGGTGAAACATAATACTCCAGATCTAGTTGTAATCTAGGTATTTAATTCAAGCTATGTCTTATCCAAAAGTGAGACTTAAAAATAGTTACATTTACTGTAGTGATTTATAATGCTCGCCTTCCCATAACAAGTGTCAGAAAAAAACAGGTAATTTTTCCATTAATTAAATTTTATACTAAACAAATTACATAGACTTCTGTTTTATAACATTTAAAATCCAATTTCAAATTTCTATGGATATGTACTGTACAAACAATGTACAAATTTGCTTTTCGGAACATAAACCAGAACGCTTTCCAAGAAATGGTATGGTATGGTATAGCTCTTTCTTGGTATACAAATCACAAATGAGGCCAAATCTAAGACTACAGAGGGGCAGCTTCTTGCCTGCTATGGCCTTTGATTCAGTTCAACAGAGCTGTGATTATTGATACCAGATGAAAAAATGGTATATTATAATGTTGATACAGCAATTGAGTAAGTGCCCAGTAAGTTCAGCAAAGTTGGTTGGCCCAAACACTTCAATGTGAGGAAAAAAAAGTATTTAAGAAGGCATTTTTAACAAAGCACTCCTGGTAGTGGTTTCTCATCATGAATTTCTATGCTGAATGGAGTAGGAATTATATTTAAGATTCACCAAAGTAATTACCCTGACTAGCTTTGAGGGAAGTCTTGGGAGAATTTCTTCGAGGATAAGAGTGTACTAAAGCCACTTAAAAACTGCTTAAGCCCTGCTCTGAAATGATTTTTGTTTTTTTGTTTTTGTTTTTGTTTTGTTTGGGTTTTGTTGGTTTATTTTTTTTGTTTGTTTGTTTTGTTTTGTTTTGATAACCCATTTTCCAGCAAGCTGAAAAGAAAATAGGACAGCTAAAGAGAATAATCTAAGTGGGATAATCAGGAGACAGGAGAGTCTGACTTGCTCTGCCTAGGAGCACCAATACTTAAGATAGATTGTTACAGTCTTTACACCCAAGATACAAACACCTGAGAGGGAAAGGTTACCAATTTTTAAGATACAGGATTGTAACCCCTGAGAAAGACATAGGAATGAAAGTTTAAAATGCTGACTGAGGTTCCTAACAATCAGAAAGGTATGAGGAGCTTTAAAGTGGAACTACTGGAGCAGCCAACCTCTAAGATCCTCTCTATTGCAAAAGGGGTTTATGTTAGGGAGCCTAAAACTGAAAGAATGTGGTGCTTATAGACAGGTTGTCTCACACTCCCTTTGTAGTTAGAGGAACACCAAGATTTATACGGAATTGTCTTGGTTGGACAACAAACCTAAAAAATGCTACAATACAAGATTTTGCATTTTATTAGGAAACAAAAGTTCAAATTTCCCTTAAGTATATGAAAAATCAGTCATACAATTTTCTATTCATTCTCCCTCCTAAATTCTGTAGTTATTTAAATGATCTATTTGTTCCTCATTACAAAACGAGGATTATTAAAAATCACATTATAAGAAATCAATTCTTAAAGTAAGAGATAAAGTAGGACTGTAGCTGCAGATACTTCTATGTGATCAAACCTGTCAGTTCAAAAGCATGAGAGCTACAAAAAGTTAACTCATGAAATCTTTAATAATTTATCTTTTTGAAGCAGAGAGAAAGGAAGAAAATACAGCTGACAACATGAGGAAAATATATCTTACTAATTATCAGAGGATAAAACCAATAAAAATAGGAGAGGAAAAAGTACTGCTGGATATTTTTTACATAAAGCATAGAAAGAAAACAATTCACTTATCCATACAGAAAGACTTGCAGGAGAAAATTCTAGAAATGCTTTTAAAGGGCTCTTTTAGATATTTTAAGTTTCTGCTCAGGAAACAGCAGTTAAAAACACATTCATAATTAAAAGATTTGTATTGTATTGATTGAGAAATTAACACTGCATTTATTTGCATAGTGTCTCTTTCTTGGAAGCAATGCATTTCCTGGTTTAGTAGTTACACAAATCAAAACTCTTCTTAAGATGGACTTTACTTAATGTAGCACTGGAGCCAATTTTTAAATTTTTAATTTGGTTTTGCAGAACACAGGGGTATATTGATTTTACAGTACCCTAAGCTACATGAGTCAGGGTTGACAGTCAAATTTCCAGAAATGCTCTGATACGTATATCTGAAGGCCAATAAATATAAAAAAAACTGTTAAAACCTTTTCTTTCAGTTATTACAGGCATATTTCCTTCCAAATCATCAATTTAAAACACCAACAAACTTACCAGGTTTCCAACTGAAAGTACATTATTGAATTCATCAGTCATCGGATAATGTTCCATAGCCATGAAGAGTGTATTTAAAACAATGCAAATTGTAATAGCCAGGTCAACAAACGGATCCATCACCACTAAGTTGACAATATGCTTAACTTTTAACCAATGTGGACTGCAGTCCCAGATCAAGAAAATATTTGCAAATTTATACCAACATGGTGGGCATTTCTGTCTCGATTCTTCAAGTTCTGTGGGGAAAAGAAAGTTTACATATGTAACTATGTGATTTCTCTAACATTCTTCCTTGCAATATGAATTGCACCAGTCACGTTTTCAGTCTGTAGTGGTACTGATAAACATTCTTTAAGCCTCAATTCCACATGTCTTTTAAGGAAAGTCTTTAAAAATTGCTATCAAATATATTTGCTATATTCAAAGCTTATCAGCCAAGCACAACTTCTTTGTATTCCAATCACTATGCCAATCGGCATCAATTTATGCATCAGTTTGTATTATGTATTTAATTTCTCCTTGATTACACTTCAGCTTTTTTCTCCCACCTACTGTTCTAGTATGTAAATATTTTTATTCTGAAATTTGTAGCATTTAAGGGAAAATGTTCATTCTGAATTCAAGAAAATAACCCATTTAGATCACCTAGAAATAGCTTTACAGAATAACTGAAAAAATGCATATATATTTTAGCAATAGTTGCATATGTTTGAAAAATGTTCAGTGTTTTTTTTTTGTGTCCAATAATACATTTTTAATTACTATGCATAAGCATCCACTCAGTTATGACCATTCATATGAGTTAGATGGAGACAAAACAATGAGATAGAAATGCCTCCTTATGTAATAACCTTAATGCTTAGTTATGTAATAACCTTAATAAATAAAGAGCTTTGAGTTTACTGATAAATATATGTCAGCTTCTTGGATGTTATCTGTACTTAAGCTATTTTAAATCTCTTTTCAAGTTTCAACTCAAATTTTCAGAAATCCATGGAAAAAACAGGATTAAATATTAGGCTAGGCACAGCACACACCTTCCACAGTGTTTGTGAGGATGCTAGCAATACTCATGGCTCTTTCCCTTAAAGCTGGATCTTCCAAGAAGTCCATAGAAACGTGAAAAGAACCTGATATTCTCTTCCTCATTTCTGGTTCTGTCGTGGTGCCCTATACAGAGAAGGATAGTAGGTGAGACACGTTGAAGAAGCAACCAGAAAAGCAAATACTACAAAAGCCTGTTAGTGGTGTCTTAGCTTGGACACGTGCTCCGTGCACTTCATATTTTATCATGTCGGACTTTTATTACTTTTTAGTACCTTTCAAATAATTTTAGGAAGGCAGTAGATCATAGGTACCTACAGTTCAAGATTGAGAGGGAGTTTATTTACTTAATTTTTGCATTTTTTTTTCCTTCAAGATATGAAAAGTCTTTAAACATTTAAGCAAATTGATACAAATGGAAAAGAGTTCAGTTCAAAATATTGCACAAAATTTTGTAAATTGTAATTTTTTTCCTTGTTCCCGCTGACAGAATATTCTGGGGTTTGTAACAAAATAGTCTTTTCCCCTAATCAAACTGTAGCAAGTAAGAAAAGTCTGACTTCTTCATGCGTCCTCATGCTAGTATTTATTAGCAGTCTGAGTAGAGAAATTTGGACTAAGCAAGAAATTTTTTTGAGACATTTTCTCTTACCTTGTGCATGGTAAGAGAGTGGCAGCAATATGTACTGCACATATGTTCACACAGACATTTGCATTTCTAGAAATATGTATTGAACTGTGATCTTCCAATGAACTATTTGTTGTCTATACTATAATACTCCATCAGAAATGGATGGAAAATATATAGGAATGAGAAATAAATGGTGAAAAGGAACTGACAACTTCCTTAAATTTTTAACCAGGCTGATAAGGAAGAATGATATCAAAATTAACTAATGCTAATTTTGATAGTGGTAATACAGCATCATATTGATTGCAGTTCTATAACATTTTGGTATAATATTTCCCATTGTATGTCAACTACAATAGCTAGACGGACCTTTAGATCAGCTAAAGGAAAGTATGGCACAGTAGTACAGTGAAGCATAGCATTTTTATGGATGTGTATGTTATTATTTTATTACTCGGAAACTGTGACTTGCATTTGTTAGTCATGAGAATCTTTGTAAGTAAATGCTTAGGTTGCAAGCCTATCTGAGCTGTTTTATTTACTAAAGATTTTACAAGATGCAGGAGCATTCACAGCTGGACCAACCAGGAAGCATTGCCAAGGGTTCCATTCTGTAGAAAACACTGGCTGGTGCAGTAAGAGACGGCCACCATGCCTAAGCTATTTAAAACTTCCTTACATTGTCATCAGTAGCTGGTTTATCTATTATCACCTCTGGCAGAAGCTGTCCAACAGGCGATGTAGGAACAGATGGTCCACCAACCAGGGAAACCACCCCATTGCAATCCACGGTGCTGTGCATCTTCCCGTTTACTGGAAACACTGCCAGCATCCTGGATGACCTACTGGCCTGGCTAATGTTACTGTTGCGCCGTTCACCGTGTCTGCGTGGCACAAACAGAGAATCTCTTCTGCTGTCATTGTCTTCAAAAGTGCTGTGCTCATCATCAGCAAAGTCATTTTCTGATCCCACATCCTTTGCTCGACCTCTGAAGCTGAAAAGACTTGTTCTGCTGTTGCGCCTTGGGGAAAACAGGGAGCCACGAATGCTCAGCAAGGACTGCAGGCAAACAAAACATGTGATTAGCTGAAATCCTCAAACTTAACACTGTTATTAGACTAACATTGGTTTTCTTTTTTTCTTAAATGACAGAAACCATATTGCCCAGAAGCTACATGCTACTGTGAAATTTTTGCATGTATTTCATTAGAGATATATTTTGCAGATAGAAGTATCACTGTTCAGAATTCTTAAGACAAAACCAGTGCCGAACACTCCTTTTTCGTCTACAGTTGCCAAATAGATTAGTTGCAGAATTCCCACCAAGAAAAAAGGAAGTCCATATATGCACTTCATTTCATGTATGAAGCATCTTATCCATAGTGAACAAACATTGGTTCAAACATCATTGAAACAAGAGCAAAATGTAAGGCTATTATAACAGGAAAATACTGTAGCATTTTAACAAGTCTAGGTATTATAGAATTATGCTAAAAGGAATCCTACATAATCAGAGAATATTTTAATATTAGTTTTAAATAATCCTATTAGAAGAACAGAGATATAAGGTTACATTTAATTCTGAGGCGGTTTTTTACAAGGCAATCTAGCAGCTAAAGCTAAAATTCAAGGACTAGCAACACTAAGGTAATAAAAGTATCAGTATTTCCTTTGTTTATGCAGTAGCATCGTATTACTGTACTTCGGGAAGACTAAAGTAGTTTTGCAACAGACTATCATGCTTTAAATACAAGCTTTTACTAAAAAAAAATATAGACAATACCTGATGTGGAGAAGAATACTTCTTTTCATATGTCAGTCTATTGCCCTCAATAGATAATCGGAAACCTTTCCTTCTGATGCTGTCTTCTGATTCAGACTTGTGAAATTCATCTTCATCTTTTTCCTCTCCTCCAGACTGCTCTTTCTGTTTCCTTTTTTTCCTTCTATTTCTCCTCTCTTTTGCACTCTTTGAGCTCAATTTTGACGCATCTGAGGAACTTTCTGAGAGCCCTCCTGCTTCCCCTGCAGCACTGGGCTCCCTGGACTCTGCAGATGCTGTCACTGCTGCTGCTGCCACTGCTGCTGCCTGCCATGATGCAGAAGGAATTTATGTCACTGAGCACAACATAATGTTTTCCTTTCTTTAATTTACTTATACATAATTTCTACTCCAAAAGTCCCAGATCTTAACACTTTCTATAGGCTATCCTCTCCCTAGGTTTTTCTTCTAATTATTATTAATCAGTTGACTCAAGATATGTGTTGGTCATAGATTCCTCTCATCCTTCATGAGTAAATTTTAAATGCAGAATTCTACCAGACTGTATTAATGACACTAGACTAGAAAAACATAGTGAATAAACTATACCTAGTTTTGAATATTCCTTCTTGGTGGCTGAATTATTCACAATACCCTTCTTCACTGCAGAATAGAAAACCTATGAGCTAGCTCTGTCATTGAACGACCAACAGGGTGCTTTATATTTCCAGTTTCAGAAATTAGAAGTTGAATATCTCTAGTAAAATCACTTCCTTACAGTCCTGGATTACTACACCATAAATGATACCTGTGCTGCTTCTTGTTGCTTTTTCAGTTGTTCTAGCATCTGTTGAAATTCTGCCTCTTTCTGCTCTGCTTCTTCCAAGGTTGCTTGATTCTGTTCTTCGTAGGCCATGGCGACCACAGCCAGGATCAGGTTTATCAGGTAGAAAGAGCCCAGAAAAATCACCAGGACAAAAAAGATCATGTATGTCTTCCCAGCAGCACGAAGAGTCTGGAAATAATAATACATTTATAATCAAGTATATGTTAACAGAAATTCTGTTTTTCATAAAATTAAAATTCAGATAAGAAAATTGACTCTAGTCTTTTTGCACCACTGATACAAACATATCTGGTCTATTTTTCATTAAAAAATTCTCACCAATTGATAGAGGTTTTCCCAGAAGTCCTGAGTCATTAACCGAAACAGTGACAAGAAAGCCCAGCTGAAGGTGTCAAAACTTGTGTAGCCATAGTTGGGGTTTCTGCCAGCTTTCACACAAGTATATCCTTCTGGGCACTGCCTACAAAGACAAATTGGACATTAACTATTTAGTAATTTTAATATTATTGACTGGATGTTAACGTACTCATATGTGCAGCCAGAACTGCAAAAAAACATCTGTTGCCAGGTTTCCTCATCAAGTATTCTTCTTCCTGCTACTTATCAACCAGGCAGGAGTTATACTAAATTACTCATTCAACATGCAAACATCCAGTTTGCCTGACCAATCCACTGATCAGGAACACAGATCCTAGGCCCAGTGTAAAAGGCTTTCTTAATGTGAAAGGAAGTGGTCACTCAAAATAAGCCCCATTCAAACTGTGTATCTAGAGAACGTGGATCTAATTTCTAGACAGTGCAATAATATTGTGAAATTCGGTCTTACCCAGCATCAGAGCTATTTCCGCAAAGCAGAGCATCGTTTTGCCCTTCCAGAAAATAAAAATGACCTGTTTCAAAAAGAATTTTAAAAATTATAAAATGCAAAATACAGCCATTATCTCTAAGAAGTTTTAAGGTGGTTTCTGATCCAATTTTAAATAAGCAGTGTTATTTTCTCAGCAGGACAACAACTGTAGAGTAAATGACATTATGAATTTCATTAAGCTATCACTCACAGCACTCACTGTTAAAATGCCAAAATTTACTAAAAATTCTGTCAAATGCTTCTGGATGTGGATTCTCCCTTCTGTCTGATCACTTCACTAAATCATGCTTTGTGAAATAATGTACAGTTGTTTATTAGAATAATTACAAGCTATCTGAAAAATAGTCTCATAATTTCTTCAAAACTTTCTGGTCAGTATTGCCAGGGGTTTCAGTTTGTTGCTCACAAGCAATTGTGACAGTTATCCAATATGTAAACCCTGCTAAAACCCACCCAGATACCAGTGGCTCTGATGATCATGGGTGTGCATACACTGCAGCTGTAGCCCACTGACTGTATGAAGGCCCTGGCATACATCTAAATTTAACTTAGACATAATTACTGCACCAGTCACAACTTCTTAAGTGAGATTTTAAGAGTACATGAAAAAATTATTGAGCACCTTAGTAAAATAAATTGGGTAAGTTTCACCAAATCACCCTGTAACCAACATCCCATAGTCTGTACACTAAGGCCATAGTTAAAGGACATTTTAGATGGTTTAACTAACAAAGACATTGACCTATCTCTTCTTACAAGAACAAAGAGATGAGCAAAAATTTGTGTTTATTAAGATTCATCTTGACTGTATCCTTGAGAAGTGGTTTACTTTTCCTCCTCCAAGCAGATACCTACAGTCTTGATTGGTAAAGTCTGGATTTTTGGAGGAATTATCACAGGAGAAGCTTCTCCTGTAATGACAATCTCCCATTTGACCATAGGCCTAAGGATATTTTATATACCGGGTCAGACCATGTGTCATATTTCTGATGGAATCCAAAAGTTTTGCCTCAGGCTGTCTGTAAGGACAGGACAGGGACAATGGTGATGCTCCTCTGAGCACCTCCCTAGCTCCAACACTTCTGAATTGTAGCAGCTTCAGAATTAAGGTGGTATTTTTGCTTCTTGAAATTTGAACCCCATGTTGGATTTGTTTTCCATTAAGTCCTGTTAGATTCCCTTAAAATGATCTCATTTGAAAATGAGTGCAGGTGAGTTTAAACTTGACTGTGCCTGTGCTGCCCAAACCAGACTACAGACACTAACGAACTCTGAGTCAGAGGAGGTGTCACAAGCTGCTGGCTCAGCACGTATTGATTTGCTGCAAGAAGGGACACAGCACCTGGGCCAGCTGCATCATTCCATCCTGTGAGCAAAATTCACCATTTGGAAAAATGAGTCCTTAAGCTGTATGTAGACCTTGTTCTGACACTTTGCAAAGGGCTCATTTGCAGTGCCTAATGATGTATCTGCATCTCACAGGGAACAATCTCCTGTGCTGTGCCAATTGCACAGCCCTGTGTGTGGCTGCTGTCACTCTGGGCTGGTGTGCATTGCAGAGCTGCTCTGTGCTGAAACAAGCTGTAAACAGAAAGCTGACAAGATGCTGGCCACAGCTGACCCTTAGGAAGCAAATCTTATTCTGCCTTATGTCAGCTAATCATGATTAAAACATGCTGGAACATAACAGCTTGTTGGGAAGAATTCAAACCTGCCTTGATATGGTTTACACGGAGCAGTCAGTCCTCATCAGCTCTGCACCAGCTGAGCTGAGCTGCTACAACAGGTCTGCATTCAGCTTCTGTGCTTCAGAAAAGATGTGCCCTGCAAGGGTGCTGCACTTGCCAGCTCCACAGAAACTAGAGCCACACAGGCTTTCTCTGAGTGCACTGACACACTTGGGCAAGTGCTCAAAATATTACTATAACAGGAAAATTTTTATAACACACAAGCTGAGCAGTATAAGTATGTACCCCTATCCAAACGCAAAACTTGGAACTGTGATTTACCAAAGTAAAGTGAAAAATCCCTCATTACACCCATGATGTAAATTTGGCTATTCTTTAATTGATTGGGAAATGGGAAAAGCTCCCTGGTAGGTGAGCACCTAACTTCAAGCAAGATTGAAGCTGTTTGAGTAAGCATAGAGTATAATATGAGAAGTACAGAGAATAATTATTATTTCATAAAATAGATTGTGAGATGCTTTTTCTCAGAAAAAAATTACTTATGGAAAGCTTGTTAAGACAAATCTCAGCTTACCTGGAACTAAGTTTATCAGAATTCTCATCTTGGAAAAAGAAAAAGGGGGGGAAAAAAAGGAGTGCTTGACTCACTAATGCCAGGAATCCTTACATAAAGACCCTCTAAATGGTGTCTCCAAAAATTAGCTCAGTGGTAAAATTAGGACTTACATGCCTTTTTCTGAATAATATACACAACTAATGGCATAATAACTTCCATAATTCTTACAGAAGATGCTGCCATTGCACTGCTCTGAACTGCTGGTAAAGAACTGCTTATTGCCTGTGAAGCAGCTGGTTTTTGTATCTTGTCTGCCCACTCACATGCAAACAGAGAGCAGGAAGCTGTGAGAAGATAATTTTTCTCTTTGAAACTGCTGGTAAGCAAGGACAACCTTATTAACTTCATAATAAGACTTGTAATTTCATTATATATTTCATAATATATATGAAATTCTGCAAATATACCGAAGGCTCATGTAGCCATTCAATAAAGTACTTCCTGGAACCAATTCAATTGAGCTTTATTTTCAGGGGGCTTCAGATCTTCTTTAAATCAAATGAAATCAGAACTTAAGTTGATAAATTCTTTATTAAAAAGTCAGGAAATTAGGTTTGGCCTTCAAGTCTAGGTCTTCATTAGGAGACTGCTTAGACTGTCATACTCCATGGCATGGGATCTCCATGAATTCACATGTTCAAGTAAATTGAGTTTAAAAAAAAATTGGTTTAAGAAATTCAGATGGAAATCCATCATAGTCATTTGCTTAGCTGTATGATCACAGTTAGAAGCTGTCTCACTTCTATTCAAAATTTGTCTGGCTTTGACTTGCAGCTACTGAACCTGTTATATCTCTGCCTGCTAGATCAAAGATATGTCTAGGATGAAAATTCTGTTCCCCATGGATTTTTTTTTTAAACTGTGATCAAATCACCCGTTAAACCTTCTCTTTGATATGCTAAGTAGGCTGAGCTCCTGGTCTATCTTGGTATAAAGCATGTTTTCCAACCCTTTAATCATTCTGCTTTTTTTGAACTTCCTCCATTTTTTCAACTTTCTATCTAAATTGAACTTTATATAGTATTCCAGTAGCAACTGAAGTAATTCTAAATACAGGGGTAATTCTGTCTTCTTAGTCAATAATTTATTTATGTGAACAGGATATTATTTAGCTTTTTGGCTGCAGAGTTGTAGCCTTAATTAGTCAGTCCTGGCTGCACCAGAGTGCCTTAGGTGCCTCAGCCTCTGTATTGTTAAGGGCTTTCCAATTGCACTTCTGCCTTTCAGTTTCCCTGCAGCCTTACACACAAGCTGCTGTGGCAGTGTCTTCCAGAGCCTCTGTGGCACTGTTTTTCCTGTGTCCTCCTGTTCTTCTTCATGTCACTTTTATTCTCATGACATCACACTTGCAAACACATTATTGCCACAGCAGGTGCTCAGATGAAGTGATTGTCTCTGGTGTGAGATTCACCTCTCTTTTTCCTATACTTTGCTTATGGCTTTTGTTTTATATTAAGTGACCTAATAACATGCAGGTACAAGCTTAAAAACTAGTCATCCATGCAGCATCCACCCTGATCAAAGGGCACTCCAATTAGTGCTAAGAGCACTGTGAGAAGTAGCAAGCTGTAGGGAATTTGAGGAGATGCTAATGAAAATCACAGAGATGCTATGGGAAAAGTGTCACTGCTGCACTGGAAAGGATACCCAAGAGAGGAGACTCACCTGCAGACCCCAGGATTTCTCTTTGCAGCTGGTCACTGTGATCTCTTTTCTATCTCTCTCTCCCCTTTAGTTCTTAATTTACTCCAAAAGTAACTTTCACTGTCAGAGATGATGTATGGCATCATCTAGATCTCTGTGCAAACCTGTCTCAACATGAACTGTGAACATTGATTTGTAGGATAGATTTGTCCCCTCACATTTAACTGAACTGGAATGCATTTCTTTGTCCCCTCACAGTTTGCCAGATTGCTCTGTATCAGCAAAACTGGTTGAAAAATCATACTTTGGGAAATTATCAAAGTGGAAAGATGCATCAGAATAATGTCTGAAGGAGTTTGTCTGAAGTTGCTGCCACTCAAGGTTTTAAATAATCCAGATGATGGAAAAACACTTTTCAGATCTGGAAATGACACTGATCTGATAAGGATGGTGGTGAGTTTGAGGAAACAGTTGTGTTTTCAAAGGTCCAGGCCAGGTGAAGAGATGGCTTGAAAAAAATAGGGTGCTGTTCAGGCTGGAACAATAAACTGTGCAAATGTAAAGTGGAAACTCAATGAGGTAGAAGTCTGTAAAAGATTCAGGTGCAGGTAGATAAAGGCTGAACAAAACTACAGTTGCAAACAACAGCAATCTGTATAGGATTTATAAAATAGAAGTCACTATGCTACCACTTCTTTGCTACTTTGTATGCCTTATGTGGAGTAGAAGTGCCTACATGTGCGTACTGTACTTTAAGAAGCATGCTTAGGAAAAAGAAAGGATCCAGATGACAGATCAACATCCAGAAAATACATTGTAGGAGAAAATTGTTAACAACCTGTGTTGTTTAGCATACAAGAAGACTAAAAGAGGAGAGAACAAGGCATGAATACACAAGAATAGTCTCTAAATACTTCAGAAACTGTGATTAATGTTAGGGAGCAATTTATTTTTTAATGACTGTGTTGCAGTTTATGAGAACAACAAGCATTATTTTTAGCAGAAAAATCTGTTAGACCTCAACCCCTCTCCATAATAATGATAATAATAATAGTAATAATAATAGTAATAAAGGACAAGAATGAATGGAAGAGGAAAATATTGAGGACTTCACCACTGGACTTCTCACTGCATATCAGAAGTCTCTGATATCTGCCAGAAAGGGCATAACATACTGCTGCTCGTCTTGCTTTGGATAACAGAATGGAAAATGTTTAAGACTATTAAATAATTCTTAGACTCCTTTCTGTCTCAGGGGAGATGTGAATTTGGTAGATGGAGCTGAGAAGAAGAGCTATACCAAGTAGCAAGACCATGTTCCTTGTTCCCTCTTCCATGCAGGCCTTTAGAGCAGACATATGAGAGAGAAAATACTTCTGTTATGTCTTAAGGAAATTTATTGTCCCTTCCCCTCTTTCCTTCTAAGAACTGGGTCAGCCACAAACCACTTCAGTGAGAATTCTGCAGACAATACTTACTTTCATCTTCAATGTACCCCTTCCAGTCAAACGGAGTCACTGTTGAATTAACCAATGTGCCATTTTCACCTATAGTGCTGTTTAGCTGGGAGGTAATATTTGTTTCCAAAGTAAAATTTTCTGGAGGCCACTGCAGGCATTTATTCCTCAGGTTGCCCATGAACAGCTGCAGCCCTATCAGTGCAAATACACTCAGACAAAACACAGTCAGGATCATCACATCTGAGAGCTTCTTCACGGACTGAATTAGGGCTCCTACAATAGTCTTCAGGCCTGCAAATGGAAAGGAGTTTTTATTCTGATGTTGGAAACTTTTTCAAAGCACAAAAATGACAATATCTCCCAGTAAAGTTATAGATTTCATGCAGAAGCCCAAATACATGATTGTAATGTCTGTGAAACAACATTTTTGTGAAGAGCTTTTTCACTTGTGAAAATGAATAAATAGCTGAAATTTATGTCCACTTGAAACTGTGAATGGAATGAGTTGCATATATTTCAAAACAACAAGCAACTATTTTTTATTCATGCTGTATGTTGATCTCACATAAACATCTTCTTTCTTTTCATTTGTCAATACATCTTGCTCCAAACCTTTACTACTATCAGTTTTATAACATACTAGATTTAGAAGACAGTAGTAAAATGCCTGTTCAACAATAAATAGGATTAAAATTTAATGCTATAAAACTGGAAATGGTTTGGAAAATTGTAGCTTTTTAAGATAATAAATCCCCCATGCAACACCCATGCTATTCTTTATTATCTTATTCCTTCATCTTCTTAGTAAGTCAACATTTCAAACAGTTTTAATTTTCAGACAGAAATATTCACAACAAATACAACATAACATCATGTAGGTAGGATACACATGGGTAAGAAAACTTCAGGGTTACTAATATTCATTGAATGTGGAGAAGAAAGCTTGACGTCATACAATGCAAACCACACACACTGTGTACTGCAATGTCTCATGCAAGAATCTGTTAAACTCAAAGGCTGATTTCAAAAGGAAAGTGCTCATTTTCAAAAGCAATGAATCAGAGATTTCAGGGAATTCTGATATCTTCTGATTCCTGCTTTTTTGTGGAAATAAATAAGACTTATATTTAAAAAACATGAATTCTTTTTCAGTAAGTTAAAGTCAGCCTCAGTGTTTAACCTCGCTCTCACCTGGAATGACTGATATTGTTTTCAAAGCTCGGAGAACTCTGAATGTTCTCAACGCTGAGACATTGCCCAGGTCCACAAACTCTGTCACATATCTGTAATAGGGGAGTTCACACACAAACACAATGACAGGATAAAAAGGAACAGTTGGGAGGTAAAAGGGGCCTAACACCTTACACCAGTTACTTCTTACCTGGAATTACAGAAATAGTTTTCAAAGCTCTCAATACTCTGAAAGTTCGAAGAGCTGAAACATTGCCTAGGTTTACAAATTCTGTTACATACCTGTAGGATTAAATCACAGTTATTCAGAATTGAGGCAGAGTTTATACTACTTACTTGGGTCTTTCATCAAGACCATTTTGGCGTTTTTAGCAAAAACTTAAATAGCAACAGTCAGAGGTTTACCTTTCACTGCAGTTTGCCTTGCATTAATACACTTTCAGAGCTTTCAGCTAAGTTAAATGTCTCTGAAGTGAATCGCACTGATTTTACTTTGAAAGCCTAAAATTTATCTAGACTAGATTGGTAAGTTTGGAGAATGAAGTCAAAGGGAAGATCCTTTTCTGCTCAGAAAAAAAAAAAAAAAGCAGGACATGAAATTAGCCTCTCTAATACTAGCTGTACTAATGGCTTCTGCAGTATTTATATTTACATCAAAATATGCATTTTTGAAAGTGAAAATTGTGTTAGACAAAAGTAAGTCCATAAGAGAATTTCCATTTAACAAAATTGGTATGTATCGATACTAATTTCATGCCCTTTTTGCCCTTCTCTTTCCAAGAAAAAGCAAAAAACAAGAACTTACGCAAAGGTAATGACAGTGAAATCAAGCCAGTTCCATGGATCTCGAAGAAAAGTAAAATCTTCTAAGCAAAAGCCTCTTGCAATGATTTTTATTAGTGACTCAAATGTGTAAATGCCAGTGAATGTATACCTGAAAATCATAGGAAAATCTAATCAAAACAAGTAGCAATTTTTAACATTCGTATTGACAGAAATGTGAGGATAAAATGAAAGGGTTTTTTATTTCACAGCTAGAGAAGGAATACAGTAAATAAGCAATTTCTTCTAAAATACATTATATTAATCAGAGATACTTGGTATTTACATGCATTAGTTGTGCTGTTGAAGTACAGCAGTCCTGATCTTGTACATAAATAATAATAAATAAAACCATCAAATAAATAATATATTAAAATTTACAGGTGACATTCAGTGTAAAAGTAAGCAATACCAGTTCCTTTACTGTTAAGCAACGAAGCTGTGAGCATAAGTTACTGGATACTGTCTGAGTCACTAACATGTAAAAACCTGGTATTGGCTCTAAAGAGGGAAGGATGCAAACGTGCTAAACCATGGAGAAAACTAGTGGAATTTCAGTAGAATACTATCTGTAAACTATTTTCATTGTTTTTCTACCCAATTGTTCTACTAGAATGAGATTCAAATAATTATTCAACATTTCTACATAGAGGAAATAGTCATAGTGCCTCATGATAGCTCCTGCTAGCACATCTTGCACTGCAGTTACTGGCACAGTAATTCCTAGAGGAATAGACAAAGGTATATTGAAATAATGTGCAACTTACTCTACATTCTTTGTCCAGTCTGGAGGGTTACTCATGGTCATAAATACGCAGTTGGTCAAAATAGTGCACATGATAAGCATGCTGAATAATGTAGGTACAGTTAAGGAAAACATAGTAATTATTCACCCAATATCACATCACTCATGGCTTAATTACAGTAAAATATTGCCACTTACACAAAACTTTTAGACTCTGGCAAACACTGACATACACTGCTTAACCTCGTATTTTTCACTTTAGTACATTAGACTTTAATATTGGTCTCAGTTTGTTGACACTCTCACGTTGCTTTACTGGTGTCCTCATGTTTTGTTTTCAGCTGGTACTGAAAGGAGGTGGTTTTCACACCTTGGGAGGTAACATGAGTTGAGCAACAGCCAAAACCAAAACAAAACCAAAACCTGCAGGTGTATACAGTTTGATTTAAGTACTTGGCAAGAAAGTGTTAGTCTTTCACTTCTACAGGATTAGTACTAAAATCAAGAGCTGGTCTATACCAGGGAAAAAACGTTTCCACTATTTACCCGGAGTCAGAGCTGAGCTGAGTCAGTGCCACTCCAGTACCCAGCACAACTAGTCTGTTGAAAACACAGAATAAAAGATAGTTTTATAAATATAAATAACAGTTTTGAAATAAAACGGTTTTTAATTGATGGAGTGAGTGCATTCCATGTTTCCCTAACACCAGTTTAATAGTACATGCTTCTATCAGTGAAAGAGAAATCCATAGAGAGCTCACAGATTAACATGAATAATTTTCCAGTATTACTTTTGGTCTCACTCAGAACCCAGCAAAAGCAGTGTATCTGTTTCTACTAACGTTATAATTTGAAAATGCTTCAATAGTTGTGTCAAATGCTTGAAAAGCACAGAAAACTGGTGAAAATTAGAATGAAATTAATTTTTATTTGATGTTCAAGGAAAGAATATTTAGGTACTTTGGGGCTATGAAACCCAGACTAACAGCTCAGAGGGGCTGGTTCTAGGGAGGTGGGACAATCCACTGGGGCTCCATGACATTCAGTGCAATGTTCTTTGTTCACCAGATCATTGCCTCTTCAGACAGTGCAGTTCTTCCCTTTTTGTGGCAATAACCTCAATTCAATCAATTTCTCAAGTAACCAAACTAGATGAAAACCTGACTCAAAATGGCCACATGATGGCAGCAAAAAGTAAGTGCTGCTACACATTTATACCAAATAGCTAACTTATTTTTCTTCTAGTCATCTCTCTAAATTATGTATTCCTTGAAAGCACTTGCATCACCATAACTGGCAAAGAAAATAGTTTAAACTAAAGAAAGCTGTTTACAGCTAAACTTGTACCTGAGAGCCGAGGATTTAATTTTTTTTTAATCAAGTAGATAGCATTTGGTTGTTTGGGGTATATTTTTATACCATTGACAAAAACAAAATGAAACGAAAACCAAACCAATCAACTACCACCACGAAATGCAAACCAAGAACTCAACCCTTCAGTCTAGGTGAAAGAAGAATAAGAGAAGTAGCACCACGATCTAAACTTCTCAGAAAATTGCTGCAATCATTAAGACCTTTGCTTACAGCAGCTGAAAAATTCAAACTTTAGCAAACCTTTTCAAACCACAGGGAAGGAATTAGCTGATTCCCACAGACTGGTGAGTGCCCTTTGCCTAAATGCCTGATCTAGCAGTGGATATTTTTGTGTATTTCACTAAACGGTTTAACTAGTTTTGAAGATTATGTTGCCATACAAGCTCTGTAGAATAAAAATCGTTCAGTGCCTTAAAATAAATTATTAGACTGCCTTACAGTGTTTGCCATCACAGTCCACCGACAGGTCTAAAGAGCCTGTTTGAATTCAATGAGGAAATTTCTTTAAAAATAGAGAATCCATTTTGGAATCCAAGTTGGAAATGCCTATCTGCAGTTTCAGTCGTCTCATGAAAGAGTTAGACAAGTGAAATGTGCTCTTAGGAGAGCTGAGGTTTCACCCCTGTGCAGTGTGTTGTGTGCTTACAGCTCAGTATCATGGTACCATTCATAACAAGAGCCACAACTAGGTCCTTGCACATTGCTCACTCTTTACAAAACTTGGCATATCTGAAAGGGAGCAGATGCTCATTAAGGGCTAAAATACTTAGAAATATAGATTCTAACCATTTCTCATATGGGAATCAAACATAACCGACACATTCAATGTCTGTGCACCTCTTCTGTCCTCTCCTACATTCTGAATGATTGATTTACAAGCTCAATATTCCCTTAATCTACTATATAATGTTCGATAACAATTCTAAACCTATACACATAGGCAAAAAAAATCTGATCTATGATGACTTCTTCATGGAAATGTACTGCCTTTTTCATGTTCTTTCCATACAGGCATGCAGAGGCACCACACAGCCTCAAGCTAATCAATTATCACCTGTGTGGATTGGTGGAAGATGAAACAATCTGGAAAACACCAAATATTGCCAACTGGTTTCAGAGATACCTTCTGGCAGTCAGGCCACACTGAGGAATACTGTAATTTAAGCTTCCAAAGCCTTGCACAGAGCACTTATATATTTTCTCTAGAGCACCTCCCCAATTCTTTCTAACAGAAATCTCTAACACTCTGCAGCTCCAGCCGCTACCACCTCCCTTTTTTTGACTGCTCAACACTCTATTTATTCTCACCTTTTCATTCTTTCCTATTAATTGTCAAAGCCTGGCCATCTCCCATCACTCTTGTGCTGCCTCCTCAGTTCCATGTTCTACCTTAAGTAGAGTCAGGCAGCCAAAAGGGAGCGAGGAAAAATAAAAAAAGGCAGACTACCAGGAGATGAGTCAGCAGAGAGAAACTCATGCTGTTACCAGTTTCTGCATCCAGTATTACAGTAGGTACTGGCAGTGAGAGTAATTGCAGGCAAAGTCTGAGAGCACTGGAAAGAGACACACTCTGTTTCTCTGCAGGGCAGCAACATCTGCTCACATGTCTGGGCACATGTGATCAGAGCACCCTATACAGAGGTTCAGAGAATTTGGAGGACAGATAGACAAAGGTTTTCCAATCAATGTGCCAGTTTCATTGTGCTCAACACTTGTATTTCACACTGAAAGGTACATTTCTGTTGCAAAGGCCAAAATGCCAAACACCTGTCATAAAATGTGGAGGAAAGAGAGTTTATCTATAAAAGTCAGAGGATTATTAAAAATAATAATCAATTTTACCCCTGATTTTCTTTTTGTGTAGGTAGTTAACCTTAAGCAGCCAAGATATAAGCAGCTGAGATTTGACCTGTAAAAAGGAACATATTTAATGGTTCTTAGTTAAAACACTTTAATATTTGCAGTATTTGTACTACAATGAATAATTTTTAAAAAAAGAAAATTACAGAACATGCACATCTATTCTTACGTTTTAGATTTTAAAGAACAGTCCTATGCCTATATCTAAGATAAAATTAGCTCCTGCAATAGCTAGCTGGTTGTAAAAAGAAATCAGTCCATATATTGGAAGAAAACCTCTTCCTATAATAGAGCTAAATTACACAATCAGTTCATAGATAGAAGGAAAAATACTGAAATTACATATTGCCCATTGGAATTTCTTCTGTTCTTAGTGTCGTCAAGCTGGATACTCATTGAAGACAATTAGGAGAAACTTAAAACCAAGAGCAAACTCAGTAGCCAATATGCCAGTAAAAGCATTACTCACTACTCAGCCAGATGTAATGTTGGAAGGTATTGTAAACCAGTGCCATGTGAATGGATGAGCATTCACTGGAGGCTGCAATCTGATGGTATTTGGCTGCATTTTCTCACCATCACCACCATTGTCTGTAGGGCTCTGTCAGCTCCCCCAGCTACTGTCCCCAAATGCTCCTTAACTTCTCTCCAGTCTGACACTTTCCCCTTCTCTCAACACTGCTTTAACATCTGAGGAGCTCAGAGTAAAAGGTATTCTGAGAAAGCAACTATCAGCCTTATTTCTTACTTTTTCCAAAGACATAGAAAATTCTGCCAGCAGTCTCTATTTATAAAGCTTCTGCCTTTCTCTACTTGTTCAAAGTTAAAATTCTTACTGTCACACTGAAATTTTCATTTGATAACTACATTTCCCAGTCCTGAGGTTCTGCAAAAAAAACAACTGCACCAAAACCTCACCCACTAGAAATTCCCATCAACCTGTTACGACCACCAGGCAGCAATCCCCCATGCCAGTCTGAAACTTCACCTTGTGCACATCCCATCAGTTATGGTCCCCCAATCCATCCACCAGCTGCGTGTGCAGATGCTTTGCAAACCACCTGCAGGAATGCTGCCTGTGCTTTCTGGCAATGTATTAGATTTGGCAGAGGCTTATGGTGCAACTGAGTGGTTTGGGAATGTGGGAATCAGCATGTACTAGACAGGCTTCCAGGCACACTGCTGCAGCACACTGGAAAGATGATCTTGAGCATGGCCCCAGAAGGACCCTGAACCTTTCTTTATAATGAAATCATTATATGTTTTCTTACTTTCATTTTGAGCAACCATTAAAAAAGGATATGAATGTACCAAAATTTTAATAGCTATTTTTCTAAGAGGGTTGAAGGGTGTCAAAATGTACAGGGCAGAGGTGGCACTGAATCGGAAGATTGCCTTCCCTTTATTCAATACTATAAAGGTCTGAAAAAGAGAAAGAAAAGACGTTTTATCAGTGTTTATTCACAATAGATTATCATTTAAAAACTGTTACGAGTAAGCAATCACCAAAATTGTAACTTTTTGAACAGTTAATACACAAAAAGCATGAATTATTTTCAAGTAAAAAATATTTTCAGTACTTACCTGATGAATCTGACATATGAAAATGCAATCAATTCAATTCATTAATGGTTTTGTTTTACTTCTTCATTAAACAAACTCAGTAAAGTCATATTCATTTTCATGTGTTTCTTGTAAATAAAGATGCATAAATTGTTAACTAAAATTATAATTTTATTTATGTTTTCCCCCAGAAAACTTTCCCTGTTTGAAATAGCACAAGCAGGGTGTGGTGGTGCATTCCCCCCCCCACTCCTATCCACCCTACCTGTGGACTTTATTGATATATTGATTAGTCTTACTAACTAGAAATCCTTTTGGAAATGGATTTAATAGACTATCCACTGGTTTAATTTTGGGGGTTTTGTGCTAAGGAGTGAGGGAAATAGCAGTAACATATACATATAATATGTATGTAACATATACAGCCATATTAGGTAGGTCCCTGAGGACTCGACATCTGAATATATTTTACTGGAGGAGTGCAACAGACAATCTCAAAGTATTCTCCTGCACTATTGTAGTTTCCAGATGTGAAACTTTCCCAGAAAATACATACTTTTAACATTTAAGTTTTAATATCAATGGAGCTAATCAAGTTTAGAGAAAATTGCAGGCATGCAAGCCTTACTTCAGAGAATTGTAGAAGACTTTGTTGGTTAAATGTCTCAAATAAATCAATGAGTCAAAGATGAACAGTATGAGAGCAAACCTTGCAAACACTGCTTTGCTTCCACTGCAGGCCATCTTGGCTGCACCTGTCCTGACACTACAGCACACAAAATGTGGGCTGTCAGGTTCTTTTGTGTCACTAAGGTGCTCTTCAACTGCAAGATCAATCAGAAAAGAATGAAAAACAGTGCAGAAGGAAGGAAAGTTCAGTAACTCAGAAGAAATCTGCATCCAGTGGAAGGGACAATGCAAGAATCATAATCTAAATTCAAATGAAATTAAAGGGAAATGTCTAAAATTGCTGTTTCTCTTTTTTGTTTTTTCCATTGTCTGAGTTGTATAGTTTGCACATAAGCTACAAGAAAGCCTCCCTGATTTTAGTTAAGTTGCTGATGAAATGAGCTGTAAACTAGAATTCCAGTGGAAGTGTGGGAAAGGTACGTTGGTTTCATCTGGTGTCCATGACATCAAGTAGTGCTTCGAGACTGTAATCAGTGAATTACATGAATATTTCCAGGAAAATTTGTAGACAGGGAAAATATGCCAAGGAGCTTCAAGAAGGACAATGCTTCAGTCTGCTGAGATTTGGAAAGTTCAAGATGTATGGACTGTGAAGTACAGATACGAATGTCTAGAAGCACACAGGAAGTGGAGAGAGATGTGGAGATGGGGGTTTACTGAAGGCAGAGGAGAAGCAGGATTAAGCTGTGAGGAAAAGCTGCTCCAGTTCCAGCAGCTTCTTCCCTGAGCTGTCCCTCCATCACAGCTCTACATAGAACACCTTCTCCTACAAACCAAACCCCTTAGGAATAAGGGACACTTCCTGGCAGACTTTACACTGTCTTGAGTACAAATTCAAGATGTGCATGAATGTATAAGATATGTATATGATTTCCCACTTCTGCACAGAAATGGAGAAACTGCATGTGAAGCTGAGGACAGCCTGAGCTAATGTTTCCAAATTCCACATCCAGTTTGGGCTTACAGGTAACAGCCTGCAGATGACCTGACCTTACATGAAGCTTTCATTCCAACTACTAAAGCAACCAAACAGATGAATGACTGTTTGGCACAATGTTTTAAAGCCTCACACCCCAAGGGGGAAGATGAATTTCCTCTGCCAGGTCTGTCCCCAGCCCCCAGGACTCACATCTCAGACACCTCCAACTCATGCTCTTTTCTGTCGTTATGAGGTGGTTGACAAAATGCATTAAAAATCTCACTTCCTACTAACTCTATATCTAAGACTACTGCACCTTCATTTAGTTAACCTACATTTTAAAAAAAATCTTTGAACACAAGCATATTAAACATACATCTATTTTCTAACATGCCTTATGGAAAATAACAGCATGCTGGCACAGTTCCAGTTTCAGTTGGAAGCTGCTGCTATTTTAGCTGTTCTACTTTCTGCTGCCCTGCATAAGCAGAACCAACAAGACATAAATTCTCTACCTCAGTTTTAATTTTTCACTCAAAGCATTTTTGTGACTAGAGCTTTCAGAATGACTTTGTTGGTCCTCTAACTTCTAGCCTTAAACATGAATTAAACCTTATTTCTGAAGGAGAATTTTCATGTAAAAGTAAAGATAAGAGCTGATATGCAAGCCCTGTGTAAGCTCCCTGCTATGGCTGTTGTATCTCACTTCACTCTCAACCCAGATGCAAGTCAATGTGTAGGTAGTGTGGATGAACATGAAGTATTGTACCCAAAGCTGTCAGGAAAAAGTAGACATACACTTAGAGAAGCTAGATAAATTCTAAAAAAAAATTTGTAAGATTAATGCATGTATAGGAAGGATTATGTATAAATTTCAGGCCTTATGTTTTATTCATTTTTATAAAGGCACAAAACTGACTCACCCTCAAAATATTAGAGTGTGAATATAAATTCAGAGTTCCCTGAAAGGAAGTCCCTAATTTGCTGCTTTTGAACCTGTAACCTAAAACCCAATCCATCTTCTGCCATATTTGAAATAAAGCCAGAAACTAAATTCTTAGCAGGGCAAAGGAGGAGGAGTGTTTTGAGAAGATGTAGCNGAGTCAACACTGAATAAAGATAAGTCTCTGAGAATCTCTAGGGATAAAGAGTTCCCAAAACCTTATTTCTTCTCTCCTTCCTCCTAGTTAGCTTTAAATGTAGTTTCTGGAAGGCAAGATTTAGTGCACTACCCCATTGCATTTCCACCTTCTGAAATTCAGGAGCTGGGTATAGCTGGGTCCTCAGCTTCTCTGGAAAAGCTCCAGCAGCAGCTAGAGCAGGAGACCCATGGCATATCAGAAGTTTCCATTTCTTGGGTTTGTGGTTATCTCTTGAAACATTTTTTTCTAGCAAGTCCTTAACTTTTTTGCTTTGCTAGAAGTTTTCACTTAAAAATTATTTCACAACTATGAAAATACTCAAAATCACTAGTTCATTCACTTTCGCTGGTGTAATAAATTGAAGCAATTTTACAGAATTTTTTTGGTTTTTTGCGACCCAAGATACATCTGGGAAACCCAGGAGTCAGTGATTTGATCAGATTAGGGACTGATATCATCGAATGTCAGGGGAAAAAGAGGCATCTTTGCTGACAGACATCATTCAGATCCTTCTGGCAAGAGACAGGACATGGAGTGGCAATAAACAATGTTACATCTCTATAGGAGGAAAGTGAAGTTTTACCCACTTAATTCCACCTATTTTCTCCCTCCTCTTTAATGCAGCAGCCCTTAAAGAATGAAACCAAGTGGACCAGATTTTGATTCGTGCCTGCAGGTCAGGATCTTAGGGATTCCAGCTGATCTTTTCTCTACAGACAATGAAGTGAACATCGTTGATCCTTTGTGATGGCAGCTGGAGCATGAACAGGCAGGCACTATGATACTGGGAACACACAGATTTGCACTTACACAGAAGCAGAACACAAAACATGAGTGAACTTCCCGTTCACTTTTAATCAATTTTGGATTAAAAAAAAACATAAAGAAAAAAGAGCATTGCAACCCTTTAGGATGATTAACTTCACAGTTCTAAAGACCAGCATTTATTGGCCACCACAGTCAACACCATTCCGGTATAAAGAAATCATAAGTATAGGAGAACATTATTCTATTCTTTTACAATAAAATAATTATGTTTCAAGGATACAGCTGCTGGCTTTCAGGCTATCTGTGACAGTGTAAATCAAAAATACCATCAAGTGTAAAAACCTGCTATAAAGGGCTCTCCTACTGTCAAAAAAAAGTTGTCAATATTTTCCTTTTCCTTTCAACTTCAGATTAGTATCGAGTACTAATATGTCCTCTTTTGTGGTAGGTCTTGCAGAGAAACACACTTAGAAAACCATGAAAGTGTTATATCTATTTAGTTTTGTTTCTCTTAAAGGATTTTTTATTTTAACTTTTCATCTGAGGCCTACCTCAGGCACAAATTAGGGCTCTCAAACCAGCTCAAAATATGTATTTATTTCTGTCTTATTCTCTATTAAACTGCATCAAATCATGGCATGCACAAACCTTTTGCTTAGAAAAAGCAGTCCCAAGGATGCAACTTAAAACACTCTAGATGCCATTTAAACATTCACCACATGAAAAATACGATGAGCTTGATCAATCTTGGTACAAAGAAAAGGAAAAAAACAAAACAAGAGAGATGCAATACTTGCATATAAGGCAAATGATGGATGATTTATTCATGACCCAAACTCATAATAAAAAAAATATTCCTAAAATTCCTATACAGCTTTTCTAAATAAACACAGTGACCAGTGCTGTAACCAGTGCTGTCAGCAACCATTTATAATTCCTATTTGAAAGTCTGGAAGCCAAACTTTCTGGTAGTTTCTGTCAGCAAATCAGCTATAGCCTATGCAGAGATCTGAACAGAGCTCTGAAGAAACAGAGGCATCTGGTAATCCTGTACACTTGCCATAACCCTTTCCTGCAAAAGAGTATTTTCCTTCATTCTGATGTTTTTCATTAGATCCATGACATTTCAGATCGATGCTTCACCAGGGAGGAACATAACATCTCTTATGATTATGCAGCAGTTGTCATACTGTCACTTTGGACAGGGTGTGCTGATGGACTTCTTGGCTTTACAAGGTGGAATTCAGAGAGGGGTAAAGAAGAAGCTGAAATGTTGAACATTACTGAGAAAAACACGTTGAGCATTCCTATGTGTCTTCCTAGAAATGTTCACTTCTGCTTCAAACTTTTCTGAAATTATTTCTCCTTCTGGGACATGCAGGAGCATCAGCTGCTGCCAATATTTTCAAAATGCAAGTGAAACAAGACCTAAGTATTTCCAGAATTCACATACAGCTAGATAATAAAATCTAGAAATTTGATATTTTAAAGTAAAATTACGGATGAAAAAGTGAAATAGCTGTTGATTTTTTGTTAGGAACATCTATTTTCCTTTTACCGAAGGAAGAAAAAACAGAGAGAATCGAAGCATTTGAAAAATTTTTGCCTTGTCTTAGACTGACAGGGCTTCTATTTCCATCCTGTAGAAGATTAAAGCACATGCATAGAGAGAATATGCAGACCCCAGCAGAAAGAAGAGAACCCCAGAGGTTATGTGTTTGGACCATACATATTTAGTGTGCAAATAAAAAGATTCTTTCTTTCAAGTAGTACAGAAACTTGACTGAAAATGTTCATCTGGTTTCTCTCCATTTGTTGCAATTCTATCACCAGACCTGGCCGATTTAGTAAATTTTCAGCCACGTTTGTGAAGGGACTGAAAGGGTCCTCTATTCTCATGGGCTTGAGAGGCATATCTAACATACCTCTCATGTATCTGTTTGCACTGCCAGACACATAAGACAGACTCATTTGGCTGTAAAGGTCCAGGAATGAGCTGTGAACAGGTAGGGATAAAATTACATGGAATACTGTATCATAAACAGACACAATTAGTACAGAACTCTACAAGGCCTGTTTTTATAGAAACACATCTTTTATCTTTGTAGAAGTAGAACTGTGATTTAAAGAGAAATCTTCATATGCTGTGAATGGCAGATAAAGGCTCTTTCAGAGTCACCAGATAATAGAGATAAAAATACTGCTCTTTCACACAGTACTTTCTCTCTTGTCAAAGTAGGACTCGTAAATCACACAAAACTTAGCAAGCTGAGACACTTAGAAAACAGTACTGTTTGTGAAATTCAAAATAACTCCTAGCTTAATATTGACAGTATTTTACAATCATAGAATCCAATAATTAAAGTAACACCCAATCTAGCTACAGCTATAAAGCATGAACTTTTTTTGCTGCTAATAGGCTGTGCAACAGGATCATTCTGAAAGGATTTCAGGCCTGTCCAAGTTTCACTAAAACTTTTAAATCCCTTTTACATTGTTTTTGTTACAGTTACTGCTTATCTGTTTGTTTCCCTATTAATTCCATAAATTTCCTAAGCATTTGCTATCAATGCAGATTTCCATGAACAAAATGTTCTATGCATCAATTCATGCTGTCAGTTTTAAATCTGAAGAACCTTAGAGAATTTTGGTGTACTCAGTATGAATGTATGTTCATTTTTAAGAAGTTCACATATCCACATATTTGTATGAGTATTACATATTGCTTATAATCAAAGATCACATATTATGCTTCAGCTTTGATATAAATGTTTCTTTGATAGAAAGTCAATTATATAAAAGAAATAAATTTTGAGTTAAATTAAAAGAAAAGGGTGAAAAGCTAGTAACCATTAAGGCAAATGGGTTCTGGCTGCAAATTAACATACTGAAGTAACAAGCTATGTGATCCACTCCAAGAAAAAGAAACGAGCATGATAATGCACTCCAAACACTGGCATATGAACAGCATTAATGTTAGACTCACTTTTTTGTTGATGTAATATGGGTCCATGTCTTCCAAGGGCTCAGACACCATTCCTGGAGGTATGTCACCATATATGAAGGGGAGTGTTTTTCCTGCCTCCAAATCACTGTTTGGTTTTGGCCCATTTTCATCATCGTCTTTACGATCTTGTTTAGGATTCTTGGCTTTTTCTGCAGCAATGCGCTGTTCAATAGCTGCAAGAGACTCTCTAGTGAAGTATTGGAAGCTGTCTGGTCCTGGTGGTACAAGCACTGACTGCTCCATCTTTTCATCCTGCACATTTTAATTACCATTTATTCTTCTGCATAGGAAAATACTAAAAGAAAGCAGAAAATAAAATTCAAATAAACATGTTGAAATCATCAAGCAAGAAAGATGTAACAGTTATTTTCAACTGTTTTTGCTATGTTGAATTGTTAAAATGCACAATCTGAAAATTATGAAGACAAAGTAAGCAGATTAGTCAGTGATTTGGCATTTGTAAGAAGCACTTGTATTGTTCTTACACTAGTTATTGAAATTGTAAAAATTTCTTAGCTTCAGGACTATGATAGTCTTTTACTCCAAATAAGGAAAAGTATTATAGTTAAGAATAATCAAATACATTCTTTCCTCATAACTCTAGTTATATTATGATCACACTCTTCTAGAATCAATCAGGATTACATTGGTAACTATAAATAGAACAGTTCAACAGAGCTAACACAGAAAATTTCACTGAGATCAGCAAAAGTATCAGAAAACAAGCATTGTAAAATCAGATTTTCCATTTTAAAAAATCAAGTCTGTATATTATAAAGCATTAAAGTAATGATTCCATGTAAATTTTTGTATGGGAAATTATTTTAGATAAGAAGAGCAATTGCCTAGTATTATTTCAGTTTAGCTGTTGCTGTGTGTCTGGTTCTTTACAAAATAGCTGTAACTGGAAAATTCTGGAAGTATTCTATTATACATATTTATTTATATATTGCAATTGCAAAAATAAACTAGTTGGGAAGAAAAAAAAAGAAGAAAAAATAAGTCCTGTTAAGACAACAGATTTGGCATATTCCATGCTGCTGAATAAATATTTGATGACACCAGACAGTCAGATTAAATGCATATTTGGGCTCACAATGGTGCATATATCCCGCATGCCTGAATGTAAAGAGATAAATGCAGTCTCCACCCATTGCAGAGATCCTTATGAAATGATCAGTCAGCCTTTCAACAGACTCAAGAGTCAAGGCAGGTCAGTAGTCACTGGAATAAACTAGAGATAGAGAATGAAAGAGAAGTGGGAATACAAGAGATGATTGGGGAAAACACATGAAAACAAATTAAAAAGTGACAAACAACCCCAGGAATTGTAGAAAGATGCTGGAAATTAGGAAGGAAATAGAGTAAAAAAAAGTGGCTCAAGAGGAGATTGTAAATGACTGAAGAATTAAGGGAGAAAATGAAGAACATAAAAAAGATCAAAAATAGGAACTCTGGAGAATTAGCAACATAAAAATGGCATGAGAACAAAGAAAAATAAAACATAGGTGGAAGAACAGATTACTGGGAAAGGAGCAGAAAGGTAAGCAAATACAGATAAAGTTAACTTCCTACAGACTAAAAGTCAATATGGAGAATAAGAAATTAGATGACAAAGGGAGAAGAAAAAATAAAGCTGGGAAATAAAGAAGAAGGTCACTAAATTATATTAAGTAATAAACCCTAAATTCTCTTGATCAGTAAAGTTGTTGTGCAAAGGTGAGCACAACATCTTAATCACATATGCATTGCAAGTACTAGAATATAGTATATAAAACAAGAAAGAGGGGTAAAAGTGCTTATGGTATCCACAAACTCAAATGTCTTGATTTCTAAAAAAATTTAAACCTCCCCATATTTCACACAGGTGTATAAGATCATCACCCACAACTGGAGAAGTGACTTTCAAACAATCAAGTTGCAAGTTTCTCACTGTAAAAAAAATTAAAGTGAGCTGATCTCACACCAAATACAAAGTATTCACCCATGTAGACACTCATGCCAAAACCAGTTCTGTACAGCTTCCCTTCTTTCCAAGGGAAAAAGAATAATACTGTTCTGTCTCCATTGGTGGGAGAGGGGAGGATATATGAAAATGTACCTCAGCCAAAGAGGATTTTAAATCTTGCCTTTCTCGCATAGAGAATATCCTCCAGTCCTCAGCTCCCTATGCCATGGTTCTGCTTACTTCTGTGAATTGCCACTTCAGTCACTTAACTACTGAAGTTATAAACTCACTATTTGTACACTCTACTGTTTCTTAATGTTCAACCACACCTTGTGAGTACTGGGAAAGAAGGAGAAAACACTATCAGCCACACCACTGAATTTTCTGATCCCCATGAGTGCCACCATAATTTGGAAGACAGACCTTGTACTAAACTATTATCCAAATGTTAAGGGGGACACAGCTGTAGGTGGATACCACTTGCTCCTTGGGCTTGGCTTCAGGGAGATACAGAGACTCAAAAGAGACAATCAAGCCTTCTCTACTGCTCAACTTATTTGGCTAAAGAAGAGACCTCTCCTCCCTCCTCTCCATTTCCCATGGGCATCAACAAATGAGTCTACATAGACATGTCTGCCTTTCCCTCTCCTCCTCCTCCTCGCGAGACCCAGGAGGGTTCTTTTCCCTGTGCCACTTTTCCTTTGAAACATTCATTGTCCAAAGCCACCACTGCAAACAGCTCTTGGCGTCCCTGCCACAGTAGCCAGCAAGGGCACCCCAAGCCAGAGGAGTCCTGGCGCAGTGGGAGGGAGGTGCTGGGCAGCAGCAAGGCTGATCTCATGTGCTGGAGGGAAATGGACAGCCAGAGAGCAGCCAGCAAAGGGGACATCTGAAACCATAGGGTGCTGTGTCAGGATCACCTGGCATGCAGGACAAGGATTACCTCAGGATTTGCCTGCAGGTGCACAGAAACAAAATGTTTCACAGCCATTAGTTACATTGCAAAAACATTTGATTCAGCTACTGTGTTTATATACCAAGTTTAAAGCCAGCAGATGCTGTGGGCTTTTCTAATAATATGTGTATTTCTTTATATAGAAAGGAACTCCACGTTATTTTTCTATAATCAATCCTAGAATCTTCTCTGGGCTGCCAAATGTACATGGAGCTAGCTAGCTACACCCTTAGATGTAACTAAATCTAAGTAGGCTGTACTTAATAAAATCTTTCAGAAGGCTTTATGAAGATTACCTACTTTTTATCCTCTGCTTAACAGATTAGAGGATGATATTCCAGATACATTTTCCCCTTCTTACATTTCAATGATTATAAGTCTTCAGAATTGCAAATAGAAATCTTCTATAAATTTAAAAGTCAATACTAAATAATACAGAATTTACTACAGCCGTAATCCCAATTCACTGTCATCTCTCATATGGCAGTACTTAACTAATAGCTTTGTGTTTCCTTTATTATAGTCAATGGATTTATTCTCACTTATTGTGATGAGGATGGATAAAAATTGATACCAGACCAATTAATCAACTGATATCCTTCTGATTTCCAAGTGATTTATTAAATATTAATTGAATAACTACAGATTGTTTACATGATCCAAATTGACTTCATTTTCTTTTTTTTTTCTTTAGCATAGCACTAGTAATTCAACATAGGAAAGAATATAAGAATACTCAAAATATTAATTTCTTACTAAGTTCTTTCCTACTCTCCTATAGGGAATGAGTTTTTTCCTTCTACATTTCCATGTCTGAGTGACCTTATGAGCAGTGCAAAACATTTCAAATTTTGGAAAATAAGGTACTCAGAACATTTGAGAATAGATTCATTGTTTCTTCTGATATTTCCCAGGCAAAATATATTCACATATATTTTGCAGTATACATTGTTGTAAGCCAGATAACTGCAGAGCACACTCCGCATGCAGGGATCAGACCATCTGCAGAGCACAAGCAGAATAAGTCAGAAGTTGTTCAGCTGCATGTGTGTAACTGCACAGAGCACAGCTGATGTGCCCACGTGGATCAAGTCTGAGGCAGCCAGAAGTGCACTGGCTGAGCTATGCACACACAGACCTACAAACACTGCCCTCCTGGATGTGAGCTACAGTACACATCATGTAACTTTAGATCTATACATTCTTTGAGAGTAATTAAACTATCAAATACCTATAGAGCATCTGTGTATTTTTGTAGTCTTCAAATTTCATCTAAATAATTTTTCTAGGCAAAGTAAAGGGACATATTGGAAATGGATGAAGAGATGGTGCCTTGTCAAACAATGATTTCAAATCAGTTACACACTGCTCCTTGAAAAAGTCATTTAGACAATACATAACTCTCTGAAATAGAGACAAGCTTGAACAAGATAATTTCCTAATCTGATAACATCCAGTACTGTCAGCTTGCATATCCTTCATACCTTCATAACAAGAGTTTCTGGAGAGTTTGGTAAGGAAGATCTTAGTGTACGTGTAGAACTACAGTGCTGCACATACTTAAACTTCAACAAATGAATTTCTTCATATTATCCATACACTTAAATCTGAAACTGAAATATGCTTTGATGTTTACCTTCTGATATAATAGCCAGGAATTAAAATTCAACTGCTGCAAAATAAAGACAAATTAATGAATCTACATGTAAACTCACAGAGCCCAGATCTTTCTTATAATAATTTGCATCATTTATTGGCACAATTTCTCATTAATTTTGATTTATCAATGAGTCATTATGAGTCTTGTCTTCAGCATACTGAATAAATATAATTTACCTTCCTCAAAGTGTGGATCCGTGGGAGGAGACGAAGGAAGTTGTGGGAAGCCACTACAGTTTTGTATGCTGGGCCTCAGAACCAAGCCTGTGTCTGTCCTGTCTGTCTCAATTATAATGTTACTGCAGGTAGCAACGGTAGGTAGGATATCCAAAGCAACACACTTGGAAGAAGGGCAGGAATCAGATTGGAATATTGGAACTATACAACTTTTTATGACTCCCTGTAGCTCACATATAAAATTAAATTTAATTCTCATGGACAGTTTTATAAGGGAAACATGCATATTACAGACTGATAATAGGATTCTCCCATATCTATTTTTACTATCTTCTTGATGTTCTCTCTCAGCATGGATAATGCAGATCTGGCACAAGGGCTTTCTTGCATTACATTACTTAGACTTGGATAACTGCATTTATTTAATGCATATTAATTTTAAATAAAGGGTAGGTACAGTAATACTGCAGACGTCAGAAGAGGGTACAGAGATATGCACTGAGCTATAAATAAATTATCTGAAATATTGGAAGCAATCAAACAGTACATACCAGTT